AGCAGCGGTGGCCGGGAGTGGCCACTGCACTCCAGTCTGGGTGACAGAGTGAGACTCCAACTCAAAAAAAAGGAGAGAGACTGGCCGGGCACAGCGGCTCACATCTATAATCCCAGCGCTTTGGGAGGCTGAGGTGAGAGGACTGCCTGAGCCCACAGGTTTGAGACCAGCCTGGGCAACTTGGTGAGTCCTCATCTCTACAATAAATAAAAAAATCAGCCGGGTGTGGTGGCGCATGACTGTAGTTTCCGTTACTTGGACGGCTGAGGTGGAAGGATCACCTGGGCCCAGCAGATCAAGGCTGGGGTGACCTAAGTGTGCTGCTATACTCCAGCCTGGGCGACAGAGTGAGACTCCATCTCAAAAAAAAAAAAAAAAAAGAGAGAGAAGTAGGAACAACGCAATGTGACTGGAATGGCCTAGCGCAGAGGTAAAGCTAGGGCAGGAAGCTGGCTGCACACTGGTCTGAGAGGCAAGAAGAGACTGCAGGGCCTAAGGTGGGACAGGTGAGAAAGGGAGCAAAGGAAGGCGAAGAGAGCCAGTTTGCAGGGGGGGAAGGGGAACGTGTCAGGAGGATGCCTGCCCAATGGTTTTCCTTGTTGGAACGGGGGTGAGGCTATTCCCAAAAATGAGGTGGGGTTGGGAAGGCCTGGAGGTGAGGGGACGGAGGCCAACAGGGCTGTGCTGCAGGGAGTGACATGGCACAGAAAGCCCAGGGAACTCCAGGCCTGCCGGCCACGTGGGGCTCAGGCAGCCGGGGGCCTGCACGGTCAGCACCACAGACTCACTCATGGGCTTCCTTCAAGGCACAGAAGGGGAGAGGCAGGCTGGGGTGACACTCAGAGCTGCAGCTTTCCTGAGTGTATCTGGAGGAAGGACAGTGGGGCACGTAGTGACCGTTGGTCAGAGAGCAAGTGACGGGCCGATTTGCTCTTAGCAATACTTAGCCATGCTTACTCGATTCAAGTGAGGTAGAACACACTGGGAAGAAGAGAAAGGGGCAGGTGATACAGTCTTCAGTAGATGCAGAAGAATGGACAGGAGGTTGCAGATGACAGAGCCAGAGGTTAGTACAGGAGGGCAAGTCACATCTGGCAGCAGGATAGGGAACAGAAAGACGCTGAGGTGGGAAGGAACGTAGAGCTGTCACGGGCAGCTCCTGGGCAGCTGGGCAGCACAGCCAGACCGTGGTGACGTCTGAGAGGTGCAGATCAAGGAGGAGGCTGCTGTCTAGGCAGACAGTGGCCCATGTTGATGTCTGCCCACACGCCGCCCCTGACAGAGTCTGGGAGGCAGGCTGCCGGTTCTGCCAGGCCACAGGCAGGAGCTGTAGTAAACTGCGGGACAGTGAGCCAAGCGGGATATGCTGCCGCCTAGAGACGCGAGAGGTGGGCATGAGAGAAGCCAGCCCAGAAGATGCCAAGGCGGCAGTGCTGAACTGAGCTTGGAAGGAACATTTGTCAGGAAGAAAGGGAGAGAGACGACAGCACAGCCAGTAACGGAGAAGGGATGTCTGGCCCAAGACCTCTGAAAGCACACCAGGCCTGCGACCTGCCTGGTGGGCTCCGGGAGCCTTTCTGAGCACCACTGCCCTGAGAGGCCAGGAGAGGCTAGAAAAACTATGCAGTCCACAGGACACTTCTGGCCAGGTCGCTCTGGACAGCAGAAGGAAAGTGCTGACCATTTTCTGAAGGCAGTGGTAGGACCCCGCGCTCTCTACTTCAGGCTGCAGAGAAAGATCCTGGTTGTCATTTGGGCTGGAAAAAGATGGAGAATCATGCCTGCTTTCCAGGGCACCAGGGCTGCTTGACCACCAAGCTTTGCGGATGCTGGGCCCCTGAGCATGTCACTGTGCAGATGCCAGTGGGGACAGGCAGGCAAAGCAGTAATGAAGCCACAGGGACAAGCCATCAGGCCTGGGGCTCATCTGGCAGCAGGGCTGCCCGGGAGTAGCTCGCCAGACTTCTCGCTCAGCCTCAAGCCTGGCTTGCTCCCGTGGCTTCAGGCACCTCTCTGCGCTGGCAACTGCTAGCCCAGCCCTCCAGCCTCACTGGGATCTCATGGCACCTTTGTGTCAACCTGCCTCAACCGAACACCGAACGTGCTGTCCTCTGCAAATCCCACCCCGGCTCAGGGCAAGGCACCAGGCACCGCCATCCTGCTGGTCGGTCACCGAGGCCCCTCACTTCTGCTTCCTGTGAGATTCCCTCGTGTCTTTCCCCTGGCCTGTCATTTCCTGCCTGAATGTCACCCCTCCAGCCTGCCTTCCGTTTGGCTACACCACAACCTCACAATACAGATGGATCAGGTGCAGTCTCGGGTCAAAACCTGCAGGGACTCCCCTCACCTGCAGGGTGAAGCCAGAGCCCTCCTGCAGGGCCTCCATGCCGGCCTCAGTGCCCGCCGCCCTGCCTCTCTTGCACTCTCAGTTCTGGGGCACCAAGTTGCTGCAGAATGTGCTGCGCCCACAGCCAGGAGAGCCCTCCTGCTGAATGTGCACTCACGTCCTAGACTCGGCTCACAAGTCAGCCTCTCGTAAAGCGTTTTCAGGGACTTCCCTCACCTTGGTACTGGTCACATGCTAACGTGCTTGTCCAGTTCTGTGTCAGTTTCCCCACTGGACTGAGCTTCTCCTGGGTGAGAACTTAACTGCATCAAATTTTGGCTGCCAGTATTTGGAGAAGTGTTTGCTGATGAATAAACGACCAACGGGAGCAAATCCTCAGCTAAGAGGAATTCAGCAAGCAGCTTCTGAGGCCAGGCCACATTTTTTTCTTTCAGTCATTTGCCCCCAGGCTGCCTGACCCTGCTGCCTCCCAAACTCATTCAGACATTCCCAGAACACAGAGCTTCGCTGAGGCCTCTGGCAGCCAGCACCTTCATACCCCAGTAGCCTTGGGGGTTGGGGCAAGGGATTCCTCAGGGGGAGAGGCGGCAGAGCTGGGCTCCCCCCCACACCCACCTTCTTTTTCAGCTTGTGCCGGGCCCGCTTGGCGGCCCTGGCGCTGTTGGGGACTTTGGGCTCCGTGCTGTTGATGAATTCCAGCAGCTCATCCACATCTCGGTGGTCCACGGCGGGCTCCCCAGGGATCCCGCCCAGGGCGCCCCCCTTCACGGGCAGCTCCTCTTTCCGCCTGGTCAGCCTCGAGCGGAGCTTCTCCCGGATCTCGGTATAATTCCGACTCGTCGGGGCAGCGGGTGGCTGGGGGAGGGGGAGGTGCTGACATTACACCTTGGGCCAGGGAGGCCCGGAGCACTCCCACCCGCTGGCACCAAGGATGCGGTGAGAAGCGAGACAACTGTCCTCTCTACCATCAGTCACCAAAGCCAAATGGCTTCACCCTCAGCCAGGCTCTGAGTCGGCAGTGGCGGGAGAAGAGGGTGGGAAGGAACAGAACAGGGCAGAGCTGGGCACACACTGACAGGGGAGCCAGGACAGCAAGTCTGAGCCCCGGGCTTCGTCCCTGGGAAGCTGTATGACCTTGGGCGAGTCACCGAGTCCTTGTGAGCCTCGATCTGTCACCTCTAAAATGAGGACAATGACCCCTAGCTCCACGGTGCTTAGCGACTCAGTTGCTTCCATGTCTTCTAGCCTCAACTGCTCTACCCTAGCCAGCGGCCCTCTCCTCTTCACCTTATGAGGCTCCTGAACTGCTTTCTCCCCCTGTCCAGAGCCAGCAAGTGCTCTGATCCGAGCCCCCTTCCTGGCGCCGCCTGCGCTCACGGCCCGTCCCCCGGCTGCCGTCACACTTGGGGAACTGGGAGCCTCCCCGCTGCCACTCTGCCTCCGTCACGCCCAAGCATCCACTGCTCTGGGCCACACACGTACACACACTCATCAGAACCAGGGCTTTCTCTCTGCCACTTCCTTTCCTCTTGCCTGAGGAAAAAAGTCCATCTCAAGAGAAACCACGAGAAGAGCAACGGCAGCAACATGCCAACAACCCCACCTCACAAGTGTGCTGTGAGGGTCAGGCGAGCAGACGCAGGTGCGCGGACTCACACGGGCCAGTGGGCTGACTGTCACCGTGAGCAGGGGCTCTGAGGCGAGCAAGTGCTCCTTCTGCTCGTCTTGGCTGACCCGGCCCTCTCCGGCCCGGCCAGGCGCACTCACCGCATTGTGGCCGAAGAACTCACAGTAGCAGCAGTCACAGAACTTCCCATCTCGCTGGTGGGCAGAGGACGAGGTGCAGGAGCTGCGCTCGGAGCTGCTGTCCTCCTCCTCGCCCAGCCCCTCGTCAGCCTCGCAGGGCTGGGGCAGCTGGCAGGCCAGGCCGCTGTGTGCAAACTTGTGCCCCTTGCACCCAGGGTCCCTGCTGACAGGAGAAGCCAGGCGCGGAGGTGAGGGGGGCAACATGGGAGCCAGGCAGCCCCCGACCGCCAGCCGCCATCCCAGCCGCCCTGCACCTGCTTCGCTACCCCGAGGCCCGAGGCTGTCCACCGGCACAGGCACCACTCCCGGAAGGGGCTGGTGGCCACGCTGCCCTTCACGGCCCATCCCAAATGCACACGTTGCTCTTCGGGAAGGGTCTCCCCATGCTCCTGCCTGCGCCCACTCCGTGCCCCTTTCCAGGGCACCTTGCACACACCCCTGGAATGGTCTCTTTGTGTTTGTCTCGTAAACTAGACTGTGCACTCCCTGAAGGCGGGGACTGTGTCGCTTCTGTTTTGGGTCCCAGTGAGTAGCATGACCACCTTATATACACAGCAGGTGCTCAACAAGTAGGTCTCAACCAATTAGTGGGCTGATGGCTCCCCTGGAGTGCTCAAGGTGGTTGGTGTTGCCAGTTTTCCTTCCACTTTGTAAGGTCTTCATGACCCAAGTCTGGTACTCTACACTGGGCAGAGCTGCCTTAGCTACAGGGCTGAGCTGAGGAAAAGCAGTGTGCGTTCTGGGCACAGATAATGAGTGCTACTGTTTGTACCAGGTACTGTATTCGGCATATTATTTCTTTTTTTATTGAGACAGGGTCTTGCTTTGCTGCCCAGGCTGGTCTCGTACTCCTGGTCTCAAGCGATCCTCCTGGGTCAGCCTCCCAGAGTTCTGGGTTTACAGGCATGAGCCACTGCACCTGGCCAACGTATTTTTTTTTTGAGTTGGAGTCTCACTCTGTCACGCAGGCTGGAGTGCAGTGGCATGCTCATGGCCACTGCAGTCTCCTCGACCTCCTGGGCTCAGGTGATCCTTCTGCCTCAGCCTTCTAAGAAGCAGGAACTACTAATTACAGGTGAGATTATAGGTGTGAGCCATAGTGTCTGGCACCCAGCCTATTATTTCTAACCATCCCCCAAGACCCATAAAATAAGTGTCACATTCCTATTTTGTAAGTGGTGGAGACTGGTTCAGGGTGCTTGACTGCTCTGCCCAACAGGTGGCCAGGACTCTAGCATGTGTCTCTGTGTGCAAAGTTCATGTTCTCTCCATTGTAATGTCCTGCCTTCAGATTTGGGGAAGCACCAGGGGTCTGGTACTACAGAATATTTTCCCTAGGATAAGACATAGGCCTGAAGGTTCCAGAACCGCAGTCGGGAAGAGTCAGAGTCCTAGGCTGGGCCAGGAGCAGCCAAGATACCTTGGGGCCGGTCCCAGTGCTGAAGGTTTAGGGGGCGGGGCGCAGAGAGCAAGGACAGAGCTCAAGGAGCGTGTGGAGGCCCAGCTGCGGGGGGCAGTCAACGCAGCCCTCTCGACTGCTAGGAAGGCCAGTAAGCAAGTGGCAAGGGTTAAAAACAGGAGGGTGGCAGTAATCATCAACAGTGCTTACAGAAGTTCACTCCAAATTGGTCATTCTTTATTACATAGCAAAACTGATTTTAGAAAAATTAAAATACCCACTGCTTCTGAAAATAGGGAAAACCTAGCACTCAGTTTACTGAGTTATGTCAATTTGGAGAGCCATTTGGAAAGCAGTTTTTCAGTGTGTATTAAGAGCCCTCCTCAAGAAGAACAAAAAACAAGAACAAGCAAAAAACACTCTTTAATGAGAACTTTCTTCATTCTCAGGAATTTATTTCAAGGAGAAAAATCCAAGAGGGAAAAAGCCTTCAAGCAAAGACATCTTTTCTTTTTTTTTTGAGTTGGAATCTCACTCTGTCGCCCACACTGGAGTGCAGTGGCAGCTCCTGGCCACTGCAGTCTCGACCTGCTGGGCTCCGGCAATTCTTCCACCTCAGCCTTCCAAGTAGCTGGAACTACAGGTGCGCACTACCACACCCGGCTAATTTTTTATTTATTGTAGAGATGAGGTCTCGCCTGCCCAGGAGGGTCTCGAACCCGCGGGCTCAGGCAATCCACTCACCTCAGCCTCCCAAAGGCGTGGGATTACAGGCTGAGCCACCGAGCCCGGCTAGCAAAGACATCTTTAGTGACATTATTTGTAATGTCAAATGTTGTAAGTCATCATGTTAAAATGACCTCAGTGTTCAGTAACCAGAGCTCAGTGAGGCAGGCTAGTCAGCGTCCTCCAGCCTCTAAAGCCTCAGGTAAGGAACACTCATGGGAATACATGTGCTGACCAGGCACCCGAGTGAGTCCCAGAGGGCTAACACGATACGACTGTGCAGACACCAGTGACAGCACGTGTGGAAGACCGCAGGGAAAATACCTGCCCAAGCACCTACGTGAGGGAGGTGGGACTCCAGAATGGGAAAACTCAAATGCGTGACAAACACAGGTTGGATTCATAACATAAACATGTACCTCCATCTTTCCAAAGATGCTCTTTCAAACATACATAGAACCTTTCTCAGTACTCAGAATCACTTCTAGGAATCTCCCTAAAGTCGAATGTTTCTCATTCAAACACAGATTTAGGTGCAAGGATGCTTATTATAGCCTAATTTATCATGGTTAAAAAACTGGAAATGCTGGGGCATGGTGGCTCATGCATATAATCCCAACACTTTGGGAGGCCAAGGCGGGAGGATCCCTGGAGCCTATGGGTTTGAGACTAGCCTAGGCAACATAGCCAGATTTGGTCTCTACAAAAAAAAAATTAAAAAAAAATTAGTCAGGTGGGATGGAGTACACCTGTAACCCTAGCTACTTGGGAGGCTGGGGTGGATCACATGAGCTCAGGAGATCAAGGCTATGATGACCAGTGATTGTGCCATTGCAATCCAGCCTGGGCAACAGAGTGAAACCCCCAACTCAAAAAAAAAGGGTACAGAACATATATCAGAGGGGGCGGGAGTGGAATGGGCAGTAGTGGAAAACTGCTGGGGGTGGGGGGGACACACCTCATCAACAAGGGTACCTGCGTAACGAACATTTGTATACCCAAGTCTGAATTGCATCCCACATATTTATTTACTTATTTATTTTTTGAGCTGGAACCTCACTCCATCACCCAGGCTGGAGTGCAGTGGCATACTCACAGCCAACCCAGCCTCGACCTGCTGGGCTCCGGCGATCCTTCCACCTCAGCCTTCCAAGCAGCCGAAACTACAGGCGCACGCTACCACACCCGGCTAATTTTTTATTTATTGTAAAGATGAGGTCTCGACAAGTTGCGCAGGCTGGTCTCGAACCCACAGGAGGCTCAGGCAATCCACTCGCCTCGACTTCCCAAAGTGCTGGGATTACAGGCTGAGCCGCCCAGCCCAGCCACTCCACATATTTAAAATAAAAAATTTATTTTAAAAAATAACAAACATGGACCTAATATGTTATTTGTATACAGAAACATCATTAAGAAAATAAAACACAGTCGGACTCGGTGGCTCAGCCTGTAATCCCAGCACTTTGGGAGGCCGAGGCGAGTGGACTGCCTGAGCCCGTGGGTTCGAGATCAGCCAAATGTACAAGAGGACAAACTTGGCAAAACCTCGTCTCTCCAAAAATAAATAAATAAATAAAATAAAACAACGCACAGTGGTAGTTTAGGTTATCAGGACATTTTTTCTTTATATTTCTGAATATATTTTTCTTTTTTTTTTTTTGGAGTTGGAGTCTCACTCGGTCGACCAGACTGGAGTGCAGTGGCCGCTCCCAGCCACCGCAGCCTCGACCTGCTGGGCTCCGGCAATCCTTCCGCCTCAGCCTTCCGAGTAGCCGGAATTACAGGCACGCGCTACCACGCCCGGCTGATTTTTTGATTTATTGTAGAGATGAAGTCTCGCTGCCCAGGCGGATCTCGAACCCGCGGGCTCAGGCAATCCACTCACCTCAGCCTCCCAAAGGCGCGGGATTACAGGCTGAGCCACCGAGCCCGGCTTGAATATATTTTTCTATATATTTCTGAATTGTTCTAAGTTTAAAAAAATAATAACAAATACATACTCTTTTATAATTGGGGGAAAAAAGCCTCATAGTCTACCCTTTAATTTCCACCCCAAAAGTGCCGTTGGCAAAGTTTTCCAGAACTCTAAATTCAAGCCAACACAGAGTTTGTCCCTCAAGCCACGCACTTACCTGTGAGTGCTAGGGAGTGGTTGAGAGCTCGGGGGCGGGAGGAGAGGCCCGCTGCAGTGCCCACTGCAGTGCCCACTGCAGGGGTGGTTGCACCCCGAGAATGGTGGAGGCATCTTCAGAAGCGGCATGCTGGTGGAGGGCAGATGGGGGCTCTGGCACAACCCTGGCGTGTGGGGGGCAGCAGCGGCAGCGACAGGGCACTCTGAAGCCTGGGCAGGGAAGGGTGCTGCCAGGGCGGTGGGCAGCAGGTGTGGGGGGGGCGGGGAGCCAAAGGAACTGGGGTGAGACGGGACCAGAGATGCTGGCTGGGGGTGGTGGCCGGTGGGGCTGTTGGGGGGTGCGGTGAGGTCTGAGTGCTGGTGGTGCTCCAAGATGGGGAACGCCTCACCTGTGGGCGGAGGGAGGAGAGAGGGATCAGACGGGAGCCCAGGCCTGAGCAGGAAGGCCCACGGACTCGCTGCCACAGCATCCTGCTCACCGTGACCAGCGGCACAGTTTCTCAGCCCAGGGCACCCTGGAGCTGCAGAGGACTTGGTGCAGGCAGCACAGGCTTGCGGGCCCCAAGCCCAAGGGAGAAGGCCCCACACCTCTGCTGTGGCACAGACAGGGATTGCGTGTTCTGCCTCTGAGGGTCGCTCTAGGACCCGCTTGTTCACAAGCCTTGTTCACAGGCCCGAAGCAGGACCTGCAGGAGCCAGTGGAGCAGCAGGGTGAAGCTCTGCTTCTGGGTCACGAGGCCCAAAGCAGCCAGGGCACGCAGACTCCAGAGGCCCCGATGTCAGAGAGGCGGGAACAGGCTGGTGACTCTCTCTGCCTTACGGACCCAAATAAAGGGAAGCAGGTACTGCTCAATCCTCCTAATTCTGGTGGCAGCACCACTTCAGAGAACTCAGACCCTCCATTTGGAAGGATGACCATCAATCATATTTACACAACAAACCAATAACCCAAGGGTTTTTTCTCTGGGTCTGAGTTACCTCAGAGCCTAAAGAAGGCTTAGACAGCTGCTGAATTGGTTAGTAAGCATTACAGCTGATCTCTTGTACATTTTTTTTTTTGAGTTGGAGTCTCATTATGTCACCCAGGCTGGAGTGCCATGGCACACTCATGGTCACAGCAGTCTCGGCCTGCTGGGCTCAGGCGATCCTTCCACCTCAAGCTGTCCAAGTACCTGGAATTACAGGTGTACCCACCATGCCTGACTTATTTTTTGATTTATTGTAGAAATTAGGTCTCACCAAGTTGCCCAGGCTGGTCTCCAAACCCCGAGCTCTGGCAATCCTCTCGCCTTGGCCTCCCAAAGTGCTGGGAATGCACCTGGTCCTCTTGTACATTTAAATGCAGTGCTTTTATACCCATCCCTTAGGTGGAGAAACCAAGACCTAGGAGACAAGGTCGCCCAGGTCCTCCGTGATGCTGCAGGAGTCAGGGGTCAGGTGACTCCTCTTTCTACTCAGACAGTACTCAACAGTCCCCTCTTGGAGCCAATGTGGGCAACCATCAGCACCACGACAGCTGTGAGAGGCACATTTTTCCTCTTAGCAGTACCTTTCAACTTCAGCATCCCGGGGAAAGGAGTTCCACGAGACAGTCCAGGTCTGGGCTGCCCCGCTTCCAGCAAACAGCTCGACTTTTACTTGTTTTAGCAATAGATCATATGATTTGAACAAAGTGGACAGGAGAACACAGCTGCCTACATTTATGTGGCCCAGCAACTCACCGGGGATGGCAGGAGGACTCCCGAGTGAGCTGCCTGGCACGGCCCCACTGGAGTGCGGGGAGTTCCAGAGGCCCGAGAGCTTATGTGCTGACAGGAATGAGCTGGGATCCCAGTCTCCTGAGTTCCCATGGCAGGAAGAGGAGGAGGAGGACGGGGATGATGAAGAGGAAGACGAGGACGAATGCGAGTCACCCCCACAAGACTGTGCTTTGCAGGACGTGTGTGACAAGGAAATCTGGAGAAGGAGGAAAAGGCTCATGGTCGGACAGCAAGTATCAGACCCTCGGCTACCTCTGCTTGCCCCGAAGGAGCCCTTCTCCGCCAAGCCCCGTGCCACAGCCCAAGCACAATCAGCACAACCCAGCCTGCAAGGATAAACGAGGGCCAGGCCTTTGCTGGGAGGGGTGGTGGTGCCCCCAGTCACATGATCAAGAGATTGGGAGACTGGGAGAGAGGCTCTGGGAGGGCCAGGGACTGCCATGAGCTGTGGACCTTTGGGGAGCAGTGACAGCTGCCAGCGAAAGGAGGGGCCAGGAGTCCTGGGTAACAGGGTCACAGGGCAACGAGACACCAGACAGATCTGGCCACTGTGACTCAGAACAGCCAACTCATGGCTCCCAGGTATCCTGGAAGCCTTCTGACTGGGCACATTTCAGACCTGCAAACCAACCTCTGCCTGCCAAGTCCCCGTGGCTGGCTTCCAAGCTGCCACAGAGCTGAAGGCAGTAGGCTCACTACCCACCAGTCCCCATGAGTAGACCCTCACTCCAAGCACAGGTTATCCTGAGGGGCTGGTGGGCTGCCAGAAGCTTCTCTCTTCTTCCCCTAGAGAGAAGAGCCTGAGCCACCAGTACTGTGCCCCAGCAGCCTCTCAGCACCTGGGTGTGGGGGCTTCCTAGGAGCGCCACCTGAGACAGCAGGGAAGGAGCAGCCTGACTCCCTTGGGAGCCCTCCCACATCCAGGGACCCCTCATCTGCAGCTACCTACCGCCACTGCGTGTTCGCGACCTGTCTGCCTCTCATCTTCTTCCATGCTCTTTCGGCAACTCTGGCAGACCCACAGAGGCATCTCGCCTAGGAGATTCTTGACGAGCTTTGGCATGAAGTCAGGGGGTAGCTTCTCACCCTGCAACACCAGTCCATTCTGAGAAGGGCCTTCTTCCCAACCTTTGCGCTCGCGATGACACAGCAGGCAGCAAGTCTGCACAGACTGGCTGGAGGTGGGGGAGACCTGTCCAACAGACAGAAACAGGGTTTCCCAGGGGGGGAACGACTCTCCTTAGAAACAATGGCAGCAACATTAGCAATGCCAATCATTACGTGCCAGGCACTGGCTTAGGCACTTTAGAGACATAATTTAATTTTAGTCCTTGTAACAGCTCTGCAAAAGAGGTGTTCTTATTCCCAATTTTTTTTAGATGAAGAAACAGATTCCAAAAAGTTAAATGAGTTGCCCAAGGTTATAAAGCTAGCGAGTGGTTGAACCCCAATGAATCTGACTCCAAAGCTCATGCTCAAATGTTCTAATGCCCTCATGTCCCCAAAACTTAAAGGTTAAAGAGAAAATGGCCCTTCCCTCTCTGGCATCTCTGGGAGGGGCCACAAGTCTTGGACTGCCTGTGCGGCCTACAAGCCTATCCCCATATGGAAGGAAAGAATTCGTACAGTCAATGGAGAGTTTAGGAGAACAGATGGGTTTTCTAAAGAGCTGCACAATTCCCTTAGGCTTGCAGCAACAGTCTGGAAGAGGAGTCTGAAGGCATCAACTCAGTGGAAGGCTGTGTTGGAGGGAAGGCAAGGCTCTGGCTGGTGCCCGTAAGAGGCAATGAGTAAGGTGGGAAGAACTGGGCTTTGGGTCAGACAGATATGCATTCTGATCCCTGCCTGACACATATGAGCTGGGTGACCTTGAGCAAGTGATTTAACATCTCTGAGCTTCAACTCCTGCCTGCCTTGCAGAGCTGTTGTGAGGACCACTGCATACCCAGGAAAGCGCCTCGCCCTGTGTGTGCCCACAGCACAGGTCCCACAGTCATGACTTGAACCTCCTTCTCCTTCTAGAACACACTTGGCCCAGAACTTCTAAGGCTATCGGTGTTCCTTCACGTTGAGGGGTCCTGTCTGCAACACTGATGACGGTGAACAGCCCTCTTAATGGCTTTCCTGTGCTCTGTGACTCTGTATCCCCTCCCACTCTGACACAGGACTTGGCTGTGTCACTTTCTTCGGCCAACGGGATATGAGCCAATGGGCTGCTAGCCAGCAGCCTGAGAAGTGTGTGGGTGCATATCTACCTGCTTCCCTGCATGGCTGGGCTTGCTCAATTTGTACCTCTGCCACGCCATGAGAGCGAGACCAGGCCAGCTGCTGGAGATGTGAGAGACTATGGAGAAGGCCAGTCTTCCCAGTTACCGGCCGGCTGGCCAAAGGTATAGGAGTGAGCCCAGTTGAGGTCAGTCAAGCCTGCCTGAGGTAGCAAACACCCAGGCAAGCCACAGGTCATGAGAGGTCCTCATGGTACTATTTTAAGTCACTGGGTTCTGGGGGTAGTTTGTTACTCAACAATATTTAACTGATATACCTTCCAGACGTACCCACCACTAAGTAACGTGTATCTGCAAAGGCCCGAAGGAGTCTTAAGGGATCACCCTCATCCTCCCAATAAGACAATGCCATCATCTTCCCCTCATTAAATCACCTTCTCACAATGAGCTCGCACTGGGGTATCCTTAAATCTGCGGTGTTACAATTACAATGATTTGGATCTCTGACTTCTTGAAAAAGGAACCAAAGAGTAGTACCACGAGCATAATGGAACACTTGGGGAAGTACAAGAAACATAGAAATGAGTACCAGAGAGACAGAAAGTTCACATGTGAAACTCACAAAAGGTACTGCCTGAAACGGTCTCTGCCAAGGGAACACCTCAATGACCGAGGCAGTTACTTCACGGCAACTGCAAAAGGAACCCACTGATGACGCATAGTTCATGGAAAGGAGTGGAAGGCTGACAGAGAAGAATGGTGTTCTGAGAAATGAAAGTACAGGAGGGCTTCTGAGAAAGGTACCCAGGAACTCTCTACAGCTACAGAGTGCCACAGTAACTCTAGGTAGAGGAGGTGAGGCCAACGCCCAAGTCCTTTCCCTGTCATTATGGTGACCATGGGCAAGCACCAAGCAAACACCAGGACGTGTAATTTCACTGCATGTGTGCTAGGTCCTAGAGTCATCACATAAGATTCAAATCTTACATGAGTAAAGTTATCCTCAAATTCTTTATGAGGCCTATAAAGTCCAATCTACAGTTGCCCCTTAGAAGCTGTGGGGGGCCAGATCTAGGACTCCCCACAGATGCCAAAAATCCACAGATGCTCAAGTCTCTGACATAAAATGATGTAGTATTTGCCTATAACCAGTGCACATCCTCCCATCATCTCTAGACTACTTATAATACTTAATTCAATGTAAATGCTAAGTAAATTGTTGTTATACTGGGTTGGTCAGGGAATAATGACATGGAACAAAATCTATACATGTTTAGTATAGATGCAACCATCCATTTTTTTCCCCTGAATATTTTCTATCTGCAATTGGTTGAATCCACAGACGCAGGAAACCAACTGTATATGGTTTTGCCGGCATGATCCAGAATTCAAAAGTATGGTATTCTGTTTTCTTGTTAAAGCAAATCCACAATTCTTATCAACCAAATATATAACTAATGTGGCTACACTTAGTGCCAAAGTACTTATGAGAGAGCTGGGTGTATGGAAACAACACTGGCTTGCCATGAATCCTGGCCTCTGTCACATACCAGCTGTAGGATGCTGGGCTACCTTACCCTCTCTGTTTGCTCACCTGTAAAGTGGAATTAAGTCCTAACCTGTAGTGCCAGGCACACAGAACCTGCTCAACATATGGTATTAATTATGACCATGATGGGAACAAGAGGAAACATAAATGGTTACTGTATTTTACAAGAATGCAAGAGTCTCTCACATGTGATGACTCCAAGGTGATTCTTAGAAATCGTAATTTTGGCCGGTCTCGGTGGCTCAGCCTGTAATCCCAGCACTTTGGGAGGCCAGGGCGAATGTACTGCTTGGGCCCTCGGGTTCGAGACCCACCTGGGCAACTTGGCGAGATTTCACCTCTACAACAAATCAAAAATCAGCCGGGCATGGTAGCACGTGCCTGTAGTTCCGGCTACTTGGAAGGCTGAGGCGGAAGGATCACCGGAGCCCAGCAGGTCGAGGCTGCGGGGGCCGGGAGCGGCCACTGCACTCCAGTCTGGGCAACCTAGAGACTCCAACTCAAAAAAAAAAAAAAAAATTTTTACATAGCCAATTGTGGTAGCGTGTGCCTGTAGTTCTGGCTACGTGGAAGACTGAGACAGAAGGACCACTGGAGCCTAGCAGGTTGAAGCTGGAGTGGCTGTGAGTGTACTACTGCACTCCAGCCTGGGTGACAGAGTGAGACTCCAACTCAAAAAAAAAGTGTAATCTCTGCCCTCTACCCCATGAAATTATTCCTTAATTTATCAGAATATTGCCTTTACTTTCCTACCTCGTGCTTTTGCTAAGGCAGACCCTCTGCTTAAAACCCACTTTCTCCTCAGGTTTACTAATAAGGAGTTGAGCAGGGCTTCAGGGCCCAGCTTAAATCAAGCCCTTCCAAGCTTCCTCCTAGAGTACCTCTTGCAACTCACCTCTCCTCCCCGTGTATCCCACTACACCTATCTGGCCCTTCTATCTATTTACCTGCACTTTCTGATCCTTCTACTAGGTCATATTCCTAGAAGGCAGGCTTCAGGTCTGATTTCTGCCTGGATCGCTCATAGTGCAGCCCAAAGCACAGGCACAGGTTCAAGGCGTAGGCTCAGCTGGGCATGCAGGATGTGCCAGGTGTCCCCACAGCAGTGGAGCTGGCAGGCAGTTTAGCAAGACACTGCTTGAAGTTACTGCTTCCTACAGAGAAAGGCCCACGTCTCCACCCTGAACCTCCTGAACGGTTCTGATCTCAAGAGTGAAAGGACGCACCACAGGGATTACAACGAGATGCCCCCAGTTAACAAAAATAATATGACTTTCAAGAACCAAGCTGGTACCCAAAATAAAGGAAATCAGCCATCAATGGAAGTGACTTTATAGGAGGAGCTGTCTTCCTAGTTAAGAAAGAAACACAGGTCTGAAAAGTTAATTCTGCTCTAACTGAAGCAGGAATGGTACCACCTAGGCTGTATAAAGCCACCCAAAGGAATAACATTAGAGACACAAAACTCCAGGGATTCAGGTAGGAAGCACTCAAACTAGGCCCCTTGGCTGCTCTGTTTTTTTGTTTGTTTGTTTTTGAGTTGGAGTCTCACTCTGTCGCCCAGACTGGAGTGCAGTGGCTGCTCCCGGCCACCGCAGCCTTGGCCTGCTGGGCTCCGGCGATTCTTCCGCCTCAGCCTGCCAAGTAGACGGAACTACAGGCACGCGCTACCATGCCCGGCTAATTTTTTGATTTATTGTAGAGATGAGGTCTCACCAAGTTGCCCAGGCAGGTCTCAAACCCACGGGCGCAGGCAATTCACTCATCTCAGCCTCCCAAGGCGCAGGATTACAGGCTGAGCCACCGAGCCCACCTCGCTTTGCTCTTAATAAGTCTACATTGAAGTCCAGCTTGCTCACTGTCCTCTGAGTCTGACAGACTTCAGTTCTTTCTGCAGGCCCAGACAGTTTGTGGGGGCCACTTCTAAAGCTGATGTCTTAACCCTAGGCCCTGGTGCCTGGCTCTGGGCACAACGCTTTGTGGCCCTGGGAACTTTTCTCTGACATTTTCATCTCTGCTTAAACTGCCAGAGGTTGGTGAGAATCCCAAGCTCTGGAGATGTTATATTTAGTCAGTAATATCACTGTTCCTTCACAGTTTTGCTTTGGCAGAGAAAAGCTCTTGGTTCTGAGTTCCCCTTGACTGTGATCTGCCACTTTCCAAATCTGGTGATCATGATCCCCTCTGCCCTGAAGCATCAGCCAGTCTAGGCTTTCAACTAGTTGTTCCCAAGTTGTACTTTTAGCACCTGGCACAGGATGCCCACACAAACAATACAATCAGTAAATGTTCACTGAATGAAAGAAACATCTGCCAAGCACAGTGGCTCATGCCTGTAATCTGGGAGGCAGAGACGTGATGACTGACTGAGCCCAGGGGCTCGAGACCAACTTGGTGAGACCTTACCTCTACAACAAA